TTCACATCTAAGGACTAGTAAGCACCAATTTATAGCTCTTGTTTTTGAATTTAGATTAAATATGAGAGTGCCCCTCTCTGTAGATTGACAGACTAGGCAAGCTACACACAATCTAAGTTTTCTCAGTCGGAGAAGCTCATCCAATTATTGGCATGCACACTGTGATAATTCTTCTGTCTTTATCCTTAGGCCTCATTCACACTAGAAAAGGCCGGCATGTACAGCTCCATGCACGGCCGTATTGGGCAGCTCCCGGGAAGGACAGGTGCTGCGTGTGATTAATACGCAGCCCCTGTCTTCCTCTATGGGAGTGCGCGGCCATACGCCGCCCTACGCTCACCCGTGTCAGTACTCGTACGCTGACGGGATGGATCCTGTCTGCATCCGAGCCAGGACACCCGCACCCGTAGGGACCTGCACTTGGGGTGAGCGTAGGGCGGCGTATGGCCACGTACTCCCACAGAGGATGGGGGCTGTGTACCTGTCGCAAAGTATTCCATACGCAAATATGCAGGACAGTTTAGACTTAACTGGCCGCATGCCGTTCCTGGTCAGACTTGGTGGTAAACAGAAGCAGGATGATTGCTCTGGAGGTTACACATTTGAAAGTGACTGCAATTTGTTTCTGTTCAGAGTTTCACTTTAGAATCTTTGTTGCTGATAAAGAAATAAAACTCACTGAATAGAAGGGATGATGCACTGCTCTGATGACTTGTTAAAGTCTGTGAACAGGCTTCCTACAGAATTGTAGAAGCAAAGATACAAAGTTAAAGAAGAACTCTTGGGAATTTTTTTTAATAACCTTTGCAGTGTATAGAACGTGATGACTCGGGAACCTTAGACTGCTGCAGTGGAGGGGGAGAGACCCCTGGAAGGACCAGTCTAAGAACAAGCCGGCTCTGAGGATCGGGTGAGTATAACTTTTTTGTATGTTTGCATCTGAAATTGCACTTAAAGGAGAACTATGGGGTTAAGGCTTTTCCCCATAGTTCTCAGGGTAACGGGAGGACACAAACTAGCGTCCTCCCGTCACCTAGGCTCAGTATACCGCGAGCCTGGCGCCTACTGAGACGCCTCCGTATACCGCGAGCTGCTGCTCGCGGTATACTGAGACGCTGAAGCGGATCCCGACAATTATGCCGGTATCCGCCCAGCTGCGTGACTGACAGCTGGCTCTGCCTATCTAGAGGCAGAGCCAGCTGTACCCGCCCCATCCGTTCCGCCAGTCAGCGCTGGCAGATCGGAGCGGGGAGGAGGGAATCCAGCCGTGACAGGATTGAGAGGTGAGCAAACGCCAGTATGTGTTCGCTCACCTCCCGATCTACTGAGCCGACCTGTGACAGTCTCATTGTCACAGGTCGGCTAGAACTATGAGGTGAGTGAAAAGCACTCACCTCATAGTTCTCCTTTAACTCTTGCAATGAAGGGGTAGCCTTACTGCAAGGGTTAAGAAACATTTTCCCTGGGGTTCTTCTTTAAATGAAAAAGGAGACGAGCATCACCTGCTGGCTCTAAAGGAGAATGCTTCCTATAAGTATCTAATATTGTGAATCACAACAAACTCAATCATCTCCCTCCCGGCTGCAGCAGTTTTTCTTGTATATTAAACAGCAGCAGGGAACGGGTCACCTCTGACATGTTTTGTGTTGAAAAGCAGTTTTTCAAAGAGTGTGGAGACAAAGGCTGAATTCACAACTGTGCGGTTTTCCCCCAGATCCATGGAAATGTTTCATACCGCATATCAATGTGTGTTAATGTGCATGTCTTTAATGCTGCAATTGTTGCAATGCACCTTGTATTGAATGTCAGCGTGTCATGGCGCACATCAACATGCATTGGTACTCTTAATGCGTTCACATGCACCATAACTCCTGCGTCAATCTGCATTTTGATGTGTTTCCATTGATTTCAATCCAGCATTACGTATAGACTCATCTTATATACACTTGTATAGATACACGTGTGAGTTAACACTTCTAGCCTGTAAAAAGATAACAAACAAAATTGTGTTCTTTACAATGCTTGTAAAGTTTCAAACTCTAAAAAGCCCTACAGTGATATAAAATGTCCAGAATGGAGACCAACACTTACCCTGGTACAAAATGATCCTATACGGGTAGAGGGAAAAATCTGTTCTCAGTGGACCAGTCATTAAATAGCCATTCTAGATGGAGCAGTCATTGAAGGTTTTGTTTAACTGAAAACTGTGCTGCTTTAGCAATTAACCTTTCTGATTTTGCTCCCTTTTGATCTGTTAAATATACCACTGAAAGTGCTTTTGTTATATCTGTACAATACAAAGTAACAATATTATTTTGGCAGTAAATGCTACTTTTGGGCAACTGTCAGCGGTTGATGTCACAGGAGGAGCTCTCCTCCTGCACCGCCCCGCTCGGCCTCCTGTGATGGGCAGAGAATCTGGATGGAGAGCGGGGAGGAGACAGCTGTCCCAGAAGGCCGAGCTGGCAGTGCTGGGGAGGAGTCGGCTGTCAGCGGTGTCACAGGAGGCTGAGCTCTCCTCCTTTTACAAGCCCGCTCAACCTCCTGTAACTGCCGAAGGAGTCCGGATGGAGAGCGGTTAGCGTTGAGTGTTTGTAAATAACTGAGGACATTTACGGTGTTCCCAATTATGAATGAGCAGGAAGTGCTCTAAATCACTTCCTGTTCATTCATGATTGTGGACATGGAAACTCATAATATATCCATCGTTTATGAATGGAAAGGAACACTTGCTGTAGAGGCTTTGTGTTCATTCATTCTTTTTTTGACCCCCTGACATCTCCCCAAAGCCCCCAACAGTTAAGTAAAAATACATTTAAAAAAGTTTATATAAAAATACATTTTCTGTTTTCAGCCTCACAAATATTTTTTTTGCCACTTCCTAGGTATTCCGTTGCAATATGTACATTTTTTTTTTTTTTTTTTGGTTGGCAAGATGGTTTTTACTCAAAATTGTTACTTTGTATTACTGACGTGCTGTATCGATCCATGTGAGTTTAGACTTTTTTGTATACTGTTAAGTATTCCTTTCTAAAAAACAAATGCATGACAGCGAATCTGATGACCAATACTCCAGCTATTTCATAGAGCTTCCTTCAGGCTTCAGCACTTATGGCTGGCTTTACCAACAAGTTATAGAAGCTGGTTAAATCCTGTAGCAGCAAGTTTGCATGTTGGACATTTGGTGACCTGTACTCATGGTAATGTATGTTTTTGTTTTTCAGCGGACATGGGATTTGCACGATTATTTAATTCACCTTTAAAGCCTTTAGCAGATTTAGATCCTGTAGTTGTTACATTCTGGTATCGAGCTCCAGAGCTGCTCCTAGGCGCCAGGCATTATACCAAAGCTATTGGTGAGTGAACAATGATTGGTAAATGTTGACAATGGTAATGTCCTTGAATAGCCCAAGTCAGAATCCAATAGAGAATTTGTGGCTGACTTGGACCATGCTGTCCACATACAATCCCCATACAACCTGACAGAGCTGGAAAAGTTTTACACAGAAGTATGGGGAAAAATTGCAGTATCCAGCTGTGCAAAACTGGGACCTATACATACAAAAGCAAGGCGGTAATTGATGTCAAAGGTGTATTTTTCTAAAAACTTGAAGGAGCTGTATACATGTAAAGTCCTCCATAGGCTCTCCTCTCTGCAGTGCAGCACCAGAACTCTTCTTGCTCTTCTGGGGTTGAATGAGTCCCAGCGAGCATCATTCAGCCTACTTCTGTGAGTGCAGGGTGTCATGGAACTGCACTACAGTCGCAGCACGCCTCTGTTAGGAATGTGTCGGCACTTCTTGATGATTCCTAGATATTTAACCCCTTCACGACTGAGCTTTTATTTCAGTTTCTGTTCATTAATGACTGACGCAATTTTGTAATTTTTGCTGTGCGATTCTTCCACGGCAGTAATATACTTTCTTACAAAGTGCACCCACACATATTATATATTGTTTTTTAGAGCGCAGATAGGGAGATATATATACAGTATATTTTCACATATTCACACATGTGCACCTAACGCCTCACTTAGCATGAATATCGTAAAAAAAAATTAGAGGAAAAAATGTTTTGATTATTTTTTTAGAAAAATAGCACAGCTAAAAAAATGAATAAAAATTGAATTCATTTATTTATCCTTTATTTGGAAACGCCTCGCA